CGATCTCGTTGTTTCAGCCAAACTAAGTTTGGTTTACTATGCAGATTCTGTCTCTACAGCATTAACTCTAAGCTCATATTCATTGGATTCTTTTCCAATTAATCTCTTAACTAAACTTGTACTGTACTGCCTCTTAATATCTGCAACACACGGTAAATATATAATGTAACTCTCCCACATATTCACCCATCGCTACCTCATATCATCTTATATCAGAAGCTATACACATATACTATTAATTACAGCAATGTTGGAGACAGTACCAGCCTTGTCTTTAATTTCTGTTCAGCCCTTTAATCACTTTGTACTGTTTTCTTACGAATACTGCAGCTTCCTGATGACTGTAGCTGTTTTATTAGAGTTATAATTACTCATATTTTCCAATGTGTTTTGCCTTATGATTTTTGTTTAAAAACAAACAAATGCTGAATATTATTTCTCCTCCTAAAATCATTTCACGTAATTTTTAAAACCTATGAGCATTTCCTTGTTCCTCTTCCATTTCTAAAATATTTATTAATCTTAAACATAATTTTTTGTCTTCTAGTTGTTTTCTGTCTCTGAAGCATGCATGATAAACATTTACACATATGGATTATTAAATTTATCTTGTTGGTGGATGGTCTACTAACCACTAGTATACAGGGTCTCCCTCTCTGCTGAATAAAATCATTTGGATATTAACCACAGGGAAGTGTAGTGCGGCGTCCAGTAATGAAGGGTTAACATTGATGTACATCTTTATTCCGCTTTTCGCTGCAAGTCACAAGTATTGATATTTTACTTCATTTGGAATTCCTTCAAGTAATTAGGTACCAATTATTAAGCTTAATTTTTTATCTTTTTTTTCTGCCCAGTGGCTATACAAATTTTGCTTATCTTCTATTCTATTGTTGCCTCCCCGGTATCATACCCCACCTTTCCTGCATTTCTTCTGCCCCAACATAGTATTATGTTTACTTTTTATATCTCAATAATCGAATGGATATCATTTTATATTTTCTTTCCTGTTGTTTCTGCATTTCTCGTGATTGTTTCTGGCAACTATTGTTCGTTTCGTTAGCCTTCTTCTCAGTTTTAAATTATTTGCGCAATTCTTTTCTCTGTCTCAATTTCTCATAACCAATTTTGTTCACTAATCTATTCTTTATATAACCAAATCGTAATCCAGAGGCATTTAATCTGATTTATGTATTATTTTCCAAAGCTAATCAACTCTAATAGAGCATACCGCCCCACTCTGTTTGTTTGTCACGTTGGTTGGTTATCCTGGAAGACATCTGGGGCAGATTTTTGAGCCAAGGAGCTAAAACTAGGAACAACAGGAACCAAAACAGTGCGGTTTTTTTTAATTGTATTAATTCTATTGTCGTGTAAAAGTGCGAGGCAGTGTACATGGAACGTACTACAACTTGTTACTTTTAAATCATTCCATTGTTGTTTTTGTTTCTTTCATATCCATCCTCCAACATAACTAAATATCTATTTCTTCAACTTGAGCAAAAATTCTATCCTTACCTATTTTCTCAACTTCCCAAAACTCATTAGATTTCACTTTCGTAGAATTTTATAATTCTATAATTTTAATTTTTGGTTTTGTTTTACCTTCACTCAACTCATTATTTATAGTTTATTCACAGAAGTACAACAAAAGTTGTACTAATGTCAAGAACTATAGTTCTTCAACAAATGCCTTTATATATGACATGAACTTTAACTTGACTGAAGCCAGTTATTAACACGCTAACAGAATCTTCTGCAAAAAATTCTAAATAAAGTATCAGAAGTTTGTCGACTTCAAGAATGCAAGTTCTGTAGAGTAAATGTGCCAAATAAGAGGAGCAAATAAATGATTTATTTTATATTCACAATCAAGTAGAATTTGATAATGATTGGACAACTGTTCTTGCACTTTTTTCCTTGGTAATCAATCTGCGTACCTCCATGTTACTTATCTTTCAGTGAGAGATCTCATCAGTTTTGTTTTTTCACTGGATGACTGAATTTTATCGAAGATTCGTAATGTTGATTTTAAATCATAGTTTCGTGCAACAGTAGATTTGTGAACAAAATATTGAAATCAAGATGTAATATTTTCTGTGCATATACTGTACTATCAAATTCACAATATGCACAGCATAACACACTCACCTCCAAGAATAATATTGGACCCTCTTGAATCCCCGAAATAGTGCCACATAAGACTGCTACGTTCAATATATATCGCCCTTAATATTATTGTATAGTTGTCAAGCTTCTGAGTTTTGACTTATTTCAGTCAAGTTCAGGAGCTTGTGTAAAATATACAAGGAAACAACAAACATGTAAACTGTTGATCATCATTTATTTTATAATAAATACATAACACGTCATTGTTCCACTTATCACACATACAGTACACTGTTACATACAAAAATTATTTGTCCTGTTTCATTTAACAAAGAACAAATATTAGATATGTGCTATTATAGTTAAGAAATATTTAGAATAAAGTCAAAACATTCGGAGTTCAGGCAGATAAGCAGGCGTAGTAGGTGGTGTTAGGAAGGAGACACGATGAATTCATTTCCACCTGATTTTACTGAGATTTAAATTGTCGAACCACTGGAAAATATTTTAAAGTTCATAATACACTCTATGTATTGTGGTTCAGTTTGTAAACACTTGAAGAGTGTTGAGTAAACATCTATGAGTCCCAAAATAAACAAAAAGTATGAAGCCTAAGTCCAGGTTCTGCAATATTGTTAAACTAAAAAATCACCTGGATAAGGCTGTCGGTAACCGGAGCAACAATCACTACACTAACATTTTGGTTCTCAGAATCTGGTGAATTCAGGAAGGAACACTGAGCGCTTATAAAGGTTATCTTTTAGCTAGTACGTTAGCCACTCCACCTGGAGCTGAAGCTGAACTATGACGAAGTTGTAGATGATCCAGAGGAGGAGCTGACCTGATGATCCTGTAAGTTAGACCCAGATGACGTCTTGTGTTTGGTACGAGAAGAGCTGAAATCAGATCCAGAGTGAAGATCCCGTTAGAACTGGAAGATCCAGTTAGAACTGGTAGAACCGGAAATTAGGATCCAGAGGAAGATCCCGTTAGAACTGGAAGATCCCAAGTTAGAACTCGGTAGATCCGATATTAGATCGAGAGGAAGATCCCAAGTAGAACTGGTAGATCCGATATTAGATCCAGAGGAAGATCCCAAGTTAGAACTGGAAGATCCCAAGTTAGAACTGGGAGATCCTGTTAAATTCAGTGGAAGATCCAAGTTAGGATCCAGAGGAAGATCCCAATTAGAACTGGAAGATCCTGTTAGATCCAGAGGAAGATCCGAAGTTAGATCCAGAGGAAGGTCCCCAAGTTAGAAGTGGAAGATCCCAAGTTAAATTCAGTGGAAGATCCCCAAGTTTAGATCCAGAGGAAGATCCCAAGTTAGATCCGGTGGACGACCCCAAGAACTGGAAGAACTGAAGTTAGATCCAGAGGAAGAACCGAAGTTAGATCCAGCAGGACGATCCCAAGTTAGAACTGGAAGAACCGAAGATCCGAGGTAAACCTGAAGTTAGATCCAGGACGCATCCTGCAAGTTAGATCCAGAGGAAGAACCGAAGCTAGATCTAGAGGAAGAACCTAAGTTAGATCCAGAGTGAAGATCCCGTTAGAACTGAAGAACCGGTTAGATCCAGAGGAAGAACCGAAGTTAGATCCAGAGTGAAGAACCCAAGTTAATCCAGAGTGAAGAACTGAAGTTAGATTCAGAGGAAGAACCGAAGTTAGAGATCCAGGAGGAAGATCCCAAGCTAGGATCCAGAGGAAGAACCGAAGCTAGATCTAGAGGAAGAACTGAGCTGGGATCTAGAGGAAGATCCCGGAAGTTAGAACTCGAAGAACCGAAGTTTGATCCAGAGGAAGAACCGAAGTTAGATCCAGAGGAAGAACCCAAGTTAGAACTGAAGCTCCAAAGTTTGATCCAGAGGAAGAACCGAAGTTAGATCTAGAGGAAGATCCCAAGTTAGAACTGGAAGAACCGAAGGAACCAGAGAAAGATCCCAAGTTAGAACTGGAAGCTCCAAAGTTTGATCCAGAGGAAGAACTGGTTAGATCCAGAGGAAGAACCTGTTAGAACTGAAGCTCCAAAGTTTGGATCCAGAGGAAGAACCGAAGTTAGATCCAGAGGAAGATCCCAAGTTAGAACTGGAAGATCCAAAGTTAGATCCAGAGGAAGAACCGAAGTTAGATCTAGAGAAGATCCCAAGTTAGAACCGGAAGATCCCGTTAGATCCAGAGGAAGAACCGAAGTTTGATCCAGAGGAAGAACCTGCTAGATCCAGAGTGAAGAACCGAAGTTAGATCTAGAGGAAGATCCTAAGTTAGAACCGAAGATCCTGCTAGATCTAGAGGAAGAACCTGCTAGATCCAGAGGAAGAACTGAAGGATCTAGAGGAAGATCCCTAAGTAGGGAACCGGAAGATCCGAAGTTAGATCTAGAGGAAGAACCGAAGTTAGATCTAGAGGAAGATCCCAAGTTAGAAAACCGGAAGATCCGGAAGTTAGATCCAGAGGAAGAACCGAAGTTAGATCTAGAGGAAGATCCTGCTAGAACTGGAAGATCCGAAGTTAGAGAGGAAGATCCTGCTAGGAACCGGAAGATCCGAAGTTAGATCTAGAGGAAGATCCAAGTTAGAACCGGAAGATCCGAAGTTAGATCCAGAGGAAGAACCGAAGTTTGATCCAGAAGAAGAAGATCCAATCTAGGAAACCGATATCCCGTTAGACGTAGAGAAAGATCCTGCTAGAACCGCCGAAGATCCGAAGTTAGATCTAGAGGAAGATCCCAAGTTAGAACCGGTAGGCATCCGAAGTTAGATCTGAGGAAGACCTGAAGTTTGATCCAGAAGAAGATCCCAATCTAGAACTGATGATCCTGTTAGATCTAGAGGAAGATCCTGGTTAAAGAACCGGAAGATCCGAAGTTAGATCTAGAGGAAGATCCCAAGTTAGAACCGGAAGATGTTAGTTCTAGAGGAAGAATCAAATCTTGCACCAGATGATCCAAGGTTAGATACTGAGGAGGAGCCGAAATTGGAAGTAGAGAATCCCAGGCTTGATCCAGAAAATGAGGATGAACCACTCTGTAAGTCTTGGTATTGGACTTCTGCCTTGAAACCCGACTCGTCATCAGCGCGGTATTTGACGATTCTTAAGGTATTATCGGGCTGGAGGACGGAGTAGGAGCCCACAACAACTCCATTATCCAGAGTTTCCTCGTGTGTCTTCTGGTCGCCTGTCTCGGCCGCGTTCACTTCGTAGCGGTAATTGAAGGACAAGTTTGGATCTGTCCTCACGATCTGTGCTCCATCTGTGATTATTGGTAAGGTGTTGTAGTTCTGTGCCTTAGCTGATGCTGTGGACGCCGTGAAGACTGTGGCCACGGCCAGCACCAAGACCTGGGAAAATATGGCAGGCTTATTAACTAATGCTTTTTTGTTTTTTGAAAATTTTTAATAATTTAAGCATTCAAGATACAGTGAACATTAATTGTCTTTGTATAAGGACAACGTCCATTGTAACAATATCAAGTTCATCATTTATATTACCAAGTTACTTTAATATAGATAAAGAGCAGTTATTTTAGGAGTTTGAAACCGTCCACACAAATTTCTTCAGAGCGGGGTTGGAAGATTTATTTTTATTTACTCAGGAAGATACGAGTTTATATATTCACGGTAACTATTTAATTTTTGTTTTACGTGTTAATACAGTATTCCCATCTATCATACCAGAAGGACGAACCCGAATACATGAGCCCAGTGAGACAAGTAGAAGAGCAATACGCAAAGTGACTCTAACCTGAGTAATGTTCAAGAGCTTTAGAAGATCGTATTCAATTGATTTTTAGCAATTTAAGAGAAGAAAAATTCACTGAAGATACCAAATGTAGAACAGATCCGCAGTGGATGAAAGAGATCCTCATCTGGATCATGACAAAAACAAAACACAGAAAAATACGAGCTACTGGATGTACAGATGAACCTGTAGCGCTCAGTATAGACAAGACCAAGACAATAGTGTGGAAGCTTATAGGGGAGGCCTTCGTTCAGGTGGAGAATACTACAACCTTATAATTATGTTTATCATATACATGTGAGTGTGTGTGTGTGTGTGTTTACACACACACACACACACACACACACATACATATATATATATATATATATATATATATATATATATATATATATATATATATATATATATATATATATATATATATATATATATATATATATATAGATATATATGGAGTTCAGAAGATGAATGCTTCTATAATGAAAACAGATAAACTTGATGGTCACAATTGATTTTTCCACAATTAAGTCCAATCACTTCCATGAACAACAGAAACTTCAATTAAGAAATTATCCACTATGGTGAGAGGAGTGACACAGTGAAGAACAATCATCTAATACAGAATCACTTTTGTCATCTGTTAATTTCTGCAAACAACAAAATACCATTAACTGTTAGTATAGTTTCGCCTGCACAAAAGCTACACCAGGACGTGTTTCACATCCAGTATTGTGTCTTACCTGAGCTGCCATCATCAAAATGAGGAAGACTGGAGAAGTGTGAAGCAGGTGAGAGGCGCCTTCTTTTTATACCTGCCTGGGTCGAAGTCATGTGACTGACCAGGAGCCACGTGATTGGTCGGCGGTGTAAAGAAGGCTGGTGGGTGTTGACGAAAGTAGAAACTGGTGCCCAGATGTTCAGTCAGGTTTTGAACGGTAACTTGATACTAGCGTAAGGGAACTGCACTCATCATCATCATCATCATCATCATCATTAGAAGTTGTAGTAGTAGTAGTACTAGTACTTAATAAACAAATTAATTTATTCGTATTAACATGTAAGTTCATTGTGATGTAAGGGTTAATGTGTTGTACTGGCACTCCTCACTAGTGCAGTCAAGGACGCTTGACAATAGTATCTCATGGTAATAACTCAGTGTTTGTTTGTGTGTGTGTATAAACATATTACCAGTTATACTCAATCGGTAAACTGACCAAATTTGACCCAATTAATAACTAACTTATATCTATGTAGTTATCAAACACATCACAATCTATTAAATACCATCATATTCTATTTGTTAATTACCTCAGTAAATAATTAAGCATTATCAAATTAAATGCTTTATTATTATTACTAAAAGTTATTTTCTCTGAGGTGCTTTAGTACTTATAACCTTCGTTAGTAAACTGGGATTTGGATACTATGGGTGAGTCGGGGCCTCATTCACACGGTGGTCTGGAAACCTCACAGTGTCCTTGTGACACACGAGGTGTTGGAGCTGACACACTGAGCCTCTGTTAGTCTGTGTGTGTTGGTGTTGCTCACTACCCCAGCCCGACGTACTCTGTAGGCTGCTGCTACAAACTACAGCTGGCGTACGGTTGCTGATTCACCACCCCGCCTCACTCTCTGTACTATCGATGGTGACTACAAAAGATAGGTACTGCTGGCTGGTTGCTGCAGATGGGTACTGCTGTCTGGTGACTGCTGATGGGTACTGCTGCCTGGTGACTGCTGATGGGTACTGCTGGCTGGTGACTGCTGATGGGTACTGCTGGCTGGTGACTGCTGATGGGTACTGCTGCCTGGTGACTGCTGATGGGTACTGCTGTCTGTTGACTGCTGATGGGTACTGCTGCCTTGTGGCTACTGATGGGTATTGCTGCCTGGTGACTGCTGATGGGTACTGCTGGCTGGTGACTGCTGATGGGTACTGCTGGCTGGTGACTGCTGATGGGTACTGCTGGCTGGTGACTGCTGATGGTACCGCTGGCTGGTGATGACTGCTGGTGGGTACTGCTGGCTGGTGGCTGCTGATGGGTACCGCTGCCTGATGACTGCTGATGGGTACTGCTGGCTGGTGACTGCTGATGGTTGTGCTGGCTGGTGGATGCTGATGTGGGTGCTGCTGGCTGATGACTGCTGATGGGTACTGCTGGCTGGTGACTGCTGGTGGGTACTGCTGGCTGGTGGATGCTGATGGGTACCGCTGCCTGATGACTGCTGATGGGTACTGCTGGCTGGTGACTGCTGATGGGTAGCTGGCTGGTGACTGCTGATGAGTACTGCTGGCTGGGTGCTGATGATGGATATCTGTTGCCTGATTACTGCTGATGGTGCTGCTGCCTGATGACTGCTAATGGGTACTGCTGTCTGGTGACTGCTGATGAGTACTGCTGGCTGGTTGCTGCAGATGGATACTGTTGCCTGGTGACTGCTGATGAGTACTGCTGGCTGGGCTGATGATGGATACTGTTGCCTGATGACTGCTGATGGGTGCTGCTGCCTGATGACTGCTGATGGGTACTGCTGCCTGGTGACTGCTGATGAGTACTGCTGCCTGGTGGCTGCTGATGGGTACTGCTGCCTGATGACTGTTGATGGGTACTGCTGCCTGGTGACTGTTGATGGGTACTGCCTGGTGACTGCTGATGGGTACTGCTGGCTGGTGACTGCTGGTGGGTACTGCTGGCTGGTTGCTGATGGGTACTGCTGGCTGGTGACTGCTGATGGGTACTGCTGTCTGGTGACTGCTGATGAGTACTGCTGGCTGGTGCTGCAGATGGATACTGTTGCCTGGTGACCGCTGATGAGTACTGCTGGCTGGGTGCTGATGATGGATACTGTTGCCTGATGACTGCTGATGGGTGCTGCTGCTGATGACTGCTGATGGGTACTGCTGCCTGGTGACTGCTGATGAGTACTGCTGCCTGGTGGCTGCTGATGGGAACTGCCGCCTGATGACTGTTGATGGGTACTGCTGCCTGGTGACTGTTGATGGGTACTGCTCTCTGGTGACTGCTGATGGGTACTGCTGGCTGGTGATTGCTGGTGGGTACTGCTGGCTGGCGCTGCTGATGGGTACTGTTGCCTGATGACTGCTGATGGGTACTGCTGTCTGGTGACTGCTGGTGGGTACTGCTGGCTGGTGACTGCTGATGGGTACTGCTGGCTGGTGACTGCTGATGGGTACCGCTGGCTGGTGACTGCTGGTGGGTACTGCTGGCTGGTGACTGCTGATGGGTACTGCTGGCTGGTGACTGCTGATGGGGCACGCTGGTGGTGTTGATGGGTACTGCTGCCTGATGACTGCTGATGGGACGCTCTCTGGTGACTGCTGATGGGTACTGCTGGCTGGTGACTGCTGGTGGGTACTGCTGGCTGGTGGCTGCTGATGGGTACCGCTGGCTGGTGTTGCTGATGGGTACTGCTGCCTTGTGGCTACTGATGGGTACTGCTGGCTGGTGACTGCTGATGGGTACCGCTGGCTGGTGACTGCTGACGGGTACCGCTGCCTGATGGTTGCTGATGGGTACTGCTGGCTGGTGGCTGCTGATGGGTACCGCTGGCTGGTGGTTGCTGATGGGTACTGCTGCCTGATGACTGCTGATGGGTACCGCTGGTGACTGCTGGGCGCTGGTGGTTGCTGATGGGTACTGCTGGCTGCCGCTGGCTGGTGACTGCTGATGGGTACTGCTGCCTGATGACTGCTGATGGGTACCGCTGGCTGGTGACTGCTGATGGGTACCGCTGGCTGGTGGTTGCTGATGACTGCTGGCTGGTGAGTGCTGATGGGTACTGCTCTCTGGTGACTGCTGATGGGTACTGCTGCCTGATGACTGCTGATGGGTACCGCTGGCTGGTGACTGCTGATGGGTACTGATGCCTTGTGGCTACTGATGGGTACTGCTGCCTGGTGAGTGCTGATGGGTACCGCTGGCTGGTGACTGTTGATGGGTACTGCTGGCTGGTGACTGCTGATGGGTACTGCTGCCTGATGACTGCTGATGGGTACTGCTGGCTGGTGGCTGCTGATGGGTACTGCTCTCTGGTGACTGCTGATGGGTACTGCTGGCTGGTGACTGCTGATGGGTGCTGCCTGGCTGCTGATGGGTACTGCTGGCTGGTGAGTGCTGATGGGTACTGCTCTCTTGACTGCTGATGGGTACTGCTGCCTGATGAGTGCTGATGGGTACTGCTGCCGTGTGGCTACTGATGGGTACTGCTGGCTGGTGACTGCTGATGGGTACCGCTGGCTGGTGACTGTTGATGGGTACTGCTGGCTGGTGACTGCTGATGGGTACTGCTGCCTGATGACTGCTGATGGGTACTGCTGGCTGGTGGCTGCTGATGGGTACTGCTGCCTGATGACTGCTGATGGGTACTGCTGGCTGGTGACTGCTGATGTGTACTGCTGCCTGGTGACTGCTGATGGGTACTGCTGGCTGGTGACTGCTAATGGGTACTGCTGGCTGGTGACTGCTGATGGGTACTGCTACCTGATGACTGCTGATGGGTACTGCTGCCTGGTGACTGCTGATGGGTACTGCTGCCTGGTGACTGCTGATGGGTACTGCTGGCTGGTGACTGCTAATGGGTACTGCTGGCTGGTGACTGCTGATGGGTACTGCTGGCTGGTGACTGCTGATGGTACTGCTGGCTGGTGACTGCTGATGGGTACTGCTGCCTTGTGGCTACTGATGGGTATTGCTGCCTGGTGACTGCTGATGGGTACTGCTGGCTGGTGACTGCTGATGGGTACTGCTGGCTGGTGACTGCTGATGGGTACTGCTGGCTGGTGACTGCTGATGGGTACCGCTGGCTGGTGACTGCTGGTGGGTACTGCTGGCTGGTGGCTGCTGATGGGTACCGCTGCCTGATGACTGCTGATGGGTACTGCTGGCTGGTGACTGCTGATGGTTGTGCTGGCTGGTGGATGCTGATGGGTACTGCTGGCTGGTGGCTGCTGATGGGTACCGCTGCCTGATGACTGCTGATGGGTACTGCTGGCTGGTGGCTGCTGATGGGTACCGCTGCCTGATGACTGCTGATGGTTACTGCTGGCTGGTGGCTGATGGGTACCGCTCGCCTGATGACTGCTGATGGGTACTGCTGGCAGTTCTCCTGGGAAAGATATAGCTACTAAGTGCAAAAAGTGTATACAATCTTAATATGGTAGCTATCTTCCCATTAGAGATAAAGTGTTGTGCCATTTCACACATAGTGTGCTTGGACATGTCCTAAAGGTTTTACCTTCACACTGTCGAGGACGTAGTGCTCAAGTGTGTGGCCATATGTCTGGCCACACACTTAACATCTAGGTTGTTCACATCTGCTTGAGGAACGTACTGCCAGAGGTACTTATATCCTAATCTTAGTCTAGCTGTTACAACTTCTTGCAGTCTAGTGATCTTGTTTCTTGCTCCATATTCATGGATTGACCATTTCCTGTTTGCACTTGTCTGTTTGTGTCCAATTCTCAACAAGTTCTTTCCTGATTACAGTTTTAAAGTTTCTTTTTGACAGACCCAGACTGTATTCAGCTTAGTGTCTTTGTTAGACACTTGAGTTTGGCGAGGGCATCAACTCTGTCATGTTCTCTGAGGCCTATGTGAGAGGGATCAGGTTTAATCTTGACTCCCCAGGTCAATAAGATTGCATATTCTGTGTTTGGCTTTGAGACAAGCGGCGTGACAACTTAAGTTGAGGTGCCAAGGGCAATGGTGAGAATAGAAAATCAGTGATGATGAGACTGTCACTGACAGTGGTTTCAACAAATTTACTGAATGTGAGTACGACAACTAATTTTAGTTTGTAGAATGGATACTCAGTTGTTAATTCTAACTCTTTTCTCAATTGTATTACCGTTTAGGTTGAGTCATAACGACAACTTCCAGCCCTTCCACAGGCAATGTTAGAGATCCGTCAGTGAGAATAAATCACTGGTTTGGGGACATGGACTGTCAGCCCAGCTGTGATCAGGCCATTGGAGAGGATGTGGAGCCCTGGTAGATGGTCTGTGTGATATTATCATCAGTCAGTAGGGTGTGTATGTGTTCAAGAGCTTTCCTTTAGCAGTATGTTAGAGATAAAGACTTTGCGTAATTCTTTAGGCGGGTATGTCGGTATTGTGATATCGAGAGGAACTGTCCGCCAGGGTGGTAGAAAGCCCTGTTGTGTCTCAACTTTGCACAGATGGTCTTGTCCAAACATCTTCATGGTAGCTGTAGTTTGGATCATTTAGATTCACTAGTCCCGTGATTCATATATTCTAGCAATTTTAGGAAACAATGTTATCAGGATCACCACGTAAAAGCCTCAGGACTATCATGAGGTTGACTTCAATTATTCTACTCCGACACTGGGTATACCTAGTTCTTTCTTCATATTGAGTACTTTAGTGCTCATGGGACGAACGGATAATTCTGAGGCTTTATTTAGCATTTTCCGAGTTTGTCAATGATACTGGATACTGCTCGCTGTCGCCTGCTGCTGCAACTGGATACTGCTGGCTGATTGCTGCTGATGCTACTGGATTCTCCATACCGCGCATGCTCCTGCTGATGCGTGCTCCCTGCTGATGTGTGCTCCATGCTGATGTATGCTCCCTGCTGATGTGTGCTCCCTGCTGATGTGTGCTCCCTGCTGATGTATGCTCCCTGCTGATGTGTGCTCCCTGCTGATGTGTGCTCCCTACTGATGTGTGCTCCCTGCTGATGTGTGCTCCCTGCTGATGTGTGCTCCCTGCTGATGTGTGCTCCCTGCTGATGTATGCTCCCTGCTGAAGTGTGCTCCATGCTGATGTGTGCTCCTTGCTGATGGGTACTCCTTGCTTGTCCTTTGAAGTCTGATTTAAGGACCATTTATTTTGTATTACTTTCACACTGGCTCTTAGGGCACTTTGTAGTACATATATGATGTTAAAATAAAAAACCCATTATATTAATAATTAGAGCATCATTTACGATGGTAGGAACTCCTGGTCCCATCAGGATTTCAAGGACCAATGGCAATTCCGTCAGGTGTCTATGAAACACAAAATCTTGAAAAATAATCACTTTATTAGGCAGTGAAAGCTTTATCTGGCCTGGGTTATAAAATTATTTTTTCTTAGTAATGAAAAATAAGTTTCTTTGAAATATTTTCTTTTTATTCTTTAGCACAAGAATTAAAAATAGAATGTACAAGTATTTCAAAACTATGGGAAGTGTTATGTGTATTTCATCTGTAAGCTATTGTACATGTCAAGACTTTATGCATGATATTCACGGAAGCAGTTTTTCGCTGCTTGTACAACAGAGAGAATGCCAAGTGGCTACATATTGATGTTGGCCTTGATTCTACATTTCTTTGAACACACTTCACATCTTCCTTCTTTTGCAAGGAACTGAGGCCAATGGACACCAGTGTTGGTGAGTCTGACTGAGGAAGGAACACTGTACTCAACTTTCCGCCGTTTAGCAGAGCATGGGGTTTATCGATTCTTGGAAAATATGAGAAGTCCTTTTGCAAGTTCCTTGAAAATCAATAACCTGTCAGAGGTGTAAACATCAAGCTTGTCTATACTCAACATAGGCATTGATAACACTCATGTCAAGCAGGCCAAAGAGATTCTATGCCACCATTTCATACTCTTCCTGTTTGCTCCATACAACTGCCGAAGCATGTCATTCTTATCGACACCTCCATATTGGCATTATAGTCCTTCACCACTTGGAGACATGTGATTACCGACTTGGTTCATTTTTTCTTTTCACTGTACAGTTGTGGTTGAAACTCCATAGTAATTAGAGACAAAAGAGTGAGCTGGTTTATTATTCATCCTCTTACATGCAGTTATTCCACTGGATGTAGACCTGAGTCAAAGTCCCTCTCTTTAGGCTCTTGTCAATTGCGAAGGAAATCCTTTCTCGAATATCTGATTGTACCTCATTAGAATCTTTTGGTGCAAGATTTCCATTAAGGAATTGAAGAAAATAGTTATCAAAATAAACTGTGGTTTTTTACCATTTAGATGTTGGGTTAGTTTGTAAACTACATCTCCTCCTAAAACTCGTAGTTCCTTTCTCTTCGTTGGGTGTAATATCCTTTTCATTATTTGCCAGTGTATATTTCAAACTTGAAGATATAGCCATCACTGTCTGCAAGACACCACAATTTATAGACTCTCTTGATGGGTTCATGGTTGTGCTGCTTCAAGCTGCTTCTCCTTGAGCGAATCATGGATTCGTCAACACAGAGATGTTCACCAGGGCTCTTTGCTCTCTGAACTGCATTCAAATAATCAACAAGAGTAACTTTGAATAGTTTATCCTATGCTTTGGATCCATTTAGTATTGTCATTCAAATGTAGATACAGAATTTGGATGAGACCTATCACCAACCATAGCTACTTGAATTGGGTGGACATTCATATCATCCGTCATCCAATAATGGCGCACTGAAGAGTCGATGGTACATCATAATGTTAAATCCTAGAAAAACTCTTATTTTTTTATACTTGCTAGTTTCCTTTCTGAACACTGTACATAGTTGATTGAAAACAAATTTCATCAATCAGTTTCTCATCAAAGAGTGTAAACAATGCTTGAAGACCAGTACTAGCTGATAACTTATCTTCTGTGACTGGCTGAAACTCTATGTTTCGTGCTGCTTCGGGTTTTTCATCCATCGTCTTCGTGAGTTGTTTCGGTTTCATGGTATATCTTCATCTTCTTTGGAATATGTAGTTTCCTTGTCACCTTCGTCTTCATTTCAATGTAAATCACACAATGCCGGTACGGTTTTGAGCACGATCTAGTGCATAATATGGCTGCTGTTGTAAAACTGGAACATCATCATCACAGTCTGATTCCCATCTGTGTCATTTCAAAATCTGGGGCAGCTCCTGTAGTACTTGTAAACTTGTCACTTCAAATCCTGACGCGATGCCATATGTGGAATATACAATTGTCACTTGGTGGAAAAAGTCTAATTTCTAATATTTTTAACTGAAGAGCTTGAAAAGTACCTAGTTTATTGCAATCACTAGTATCTTATTTCATTTTTTTAAATATAAAGCTGTACAAGGTGTGGTCATATGTAGAATAGTATAAGTACAAACAAAAGGTTGTTTTAGTTTGCACAACACAAAAACAGCCAAATCTGACCTAAACTTATCATCCTTACTCCAACCTTTTCGTGAAATAACATATACAAAAACAAAAAAACATAGTTTTGAAGTATCTGGGCATGTTTAGATATCATTTACTTAGCCTGAAATGCAGTTCGTGCAATGCTAAACAACTGCCTTATTATATTGCTGAACTTCAGAATTCAAGACGAAGATAAAATTCTTATATGTTATCCGTAAGCCAAACTGTATGAGAAAGAAGAAACTACCCAGGGCTAGGAGTTGCAGACCAGTTTGATAACAGACACAGCAAGTAATCCTTGGGGAAAGGCGGTGTGGTCATCGAAAGCCAAGGAGAGTAGAGTTCAGATAGGTGGGATCCTAGGAGAGAATATAACGTGGAAAACCATCCAGTATCAATATCTTGCATGTTGCATATAGTATTCACCTATGCGCCTGATGGGAATTCACAGTAAGGATCCTGGTGGTGCAACCCATATACTCTTCTTATAATTATGGAAAGTCAATGTAAAGGTTATCCCAAATCAACAAGTTATCCATAAATGTAACATATTTATGAATATATTTACAAAACTTAGTGTTGAAACTCACCTTTGTTATGTTGATGTGGGGTCTAAGATGATTTTCTGCTGTTCCCACCTCAAAATGCTTGTTTTGATCTGCCACATGTTCAGCAACAGGGCGATTGTTGCTAGATGTCTCTCTAAAACGTTTCTGGGTGGGAACTGGGGGTCCTACAGGCTTCAGTTGCATCTAAGTGGATCACTTAGACTTTTATGCCACAAATAAGAGGTGGGACCTAGAATTCCCAACAGGCTTCAACGGGTTATAGTGTACTCCCTGCTGATGGGGACTCCTGGGGATAGATACTCTGCTGATGAATACTACCTGCTGATGGATAGTCCCTGCTGATTGTGTACTCCTGCTGATGATTCTGCTGATGGTGACTTCCTGCTGATGGTGACTTCCTGCTGATGTATACCGCCGGCTGACAGGTAAAGTCCACTCAGAACTATTACTGGTGTACTTAGTTTACGTTAGTTTTATCTTGTGTCATCATGAAGTTTGGTCAAGAGTTTATACAGACATATCAGGGGTAGAGTTTATGTTGAAATACGGGTTTCTTATCTATCTTCAATAAAATCTCTGGTTTTACTGTGATACCGTAAATGTAATAAGTGCATTAATTCTCTACATATTTTAGTTACTGTATTGGCTATACATCGTAATTTTTAAATTAACTTTTCAGCATAATTATTGGATTTTCTCGAATCTGTAATTATCGTGTTACCTTTGTGGTTTCTCTATCTTTATATCGTCATGGAATACATTGTTTTGGAAGGCCGTCAATATGCTCCTAACCACAGTATTGTTACCGTATCTTATATGTAAGCAAGTGGTAAAGGTACTGGTGCTCTGTAGGGAATCATTATTACCTATCATTGTTCAGTCCTTCACGACAGACTGCTTTTTACGTTAACGTTGATGTATATTTATTTAGTTATTGGTAGATGGGTGGGTAGTTGAACATAGGTAATGTGGTGAAGCTACCTTCGAGCTCTCGACTTTCCGCGTGAGGCAGGGCTCTGCGGGCGGGTGAGGGTGTTGCGCATGAGCCGAGTATCGACTCTACTGAGTTGCCATCCGTACAAATTCTTCTCTAATGTTGCTATTTTACTTATGTCTTATGCATTGATATTATTTACGTTGAAGAACAAAAAATATGATGCTCGTTTTTAGTTATGTAAGGTAGATGAGTTTTGATTATTTAATCGAAATATTTTTGCTGGCAGAAGGACTGAAGTTTCTATTCTGTGCTGTAAAGTTGTTTTATGAAGAAGATTGAATTTTGTTTATTCAGATTAAACTTTAGTTAAATTATTTTAGTATTAATTAAATAATTAACTAACTGCTACTGTCGAAAGACATAAACAGAAACAAAAAGCAATAGGAGCGGAAGGGAGGGCTGATATAAAGGACTAATTGGTAACTCTCCTCAGTCCAGCAGCAGGATCCAGCTGCTTCATAACTCACCAATGTCAAAATGGCGCAAGTGAAGTCCACGGATAAGTCTAATATTATAGGTGTTTTGTGTGTGCGTTTGCATCGCGAGTGCCAAGGGGACACCACTAGTGATAGAGTAAACCCGAAACAACGATGGCCAAACAACCACAGTGCCCACAAGTCTACCGCCACCCAAAAAGCACAGTCCAAAGCCACTGCTAACGATGGCGATGTTGATGAGCAAGAAGGCGTATACAGCCCCTCAAGTAGCAATGTAGTAACATTAAGACGAGCTCGGACTGGCAGGGCAGCAGTAGTCAAGGCAGTAGCAATGGGGTCGGTGAAAGAGCGGCCAACAAGAGGAACATCAGCAGTCAGGGCAGTGGAGCAACTGCCCAGGAACTGAATCAACTACTTCCTGGCGGGGAACCTCCTGTTGTTGCTCATCTCCGTCGTCATCGCTGGTTCTCTCTTCGTTACGCTCCTCTGCTTCATACACAAGTGGAAGGAGAACATGGGCACAGCGTGGTACCATCTTGAGTGTTATTCCCATGTAGCTGCCCGTACCGTACCTAGCAACAAAAGAGTTCGCAGTAGCTTGTTACACCCCTACAGTCAACCCACTGGAAATATAAAATTAATATCCCCATGGGACTCAGGGACCTCATAACATTATGCACGAACAACAAAGAAAGGTATGAGTGATCGTTCGTGTGTGGATGAGGTTATACGACTGCCGATCAATTACACAGTTACCCATGGCATTAATAGTTGTATGAGTATAGATTATGTCTTTTATCAGTTACGTTTACAACATGGAACATATAAATCTGACAGAGAAACACTTTAAAGGAAACTGACCCAACGTCCTCTAGGGTTTTCTCATCCCAAAACAAAATTTCGATTCAGTCAAAGGGTTACCGACGCCATAGTGAGAGAATGAATGAAATTAGCTGACATGTTTCTGTAGGAGGACAATAATTACCCGTCTGTGTCCTGGGAATAAAGTGGTGAAATTGCGTAAAACGGTGTAATTCATTCTAAGGTGTTTACCTAGTGTGTGTGTGTGTGTGTTAGTTGGTTATGGGTGTGTGTGTGTGTGTGTGTGTTGGATTTGGTTTATGGGTGTGTGTGTGTTTGGTTTGGTTTTTGTGGGTGTGTGTGTGTTGGTTAGTTTATGGGTGTCTGTGTGTTGGTTAGTTTATGTGTGTATGTTGGTTAGTTTATGGGTGTGTGTGTGTGTGTGTGTTGGTTAGTTTATGGGTGTGTTTATGGGTGTGTGTGTGTGTGTTAGTTTATGGGTGTGTGTGTGTGTGTGTGTGTGTGTGTTGGTTAGTTTATGGTGTGTGTGTGTGTGTGTGTTAGCTTTATGGGTGTGTGTGTGTGTGTGTGTTGGTTAGTTTATGGGTGTGTGTGTGTGTGTGTTAGTTTATGTTTGTGTGTGTGTGTTGGTTAGTTTATGGGTGTGTGTGTGTGTTGGTTAGTTTATAGTGTGTGTGTGTGTGTTAGTTTATGGGTGTGTGTGTGTGTGTTAGTTTATGGGTGTGTGTGTGTGTGTGTGTTGGTTAGTTTATGTTTGTGTGTGTGTGTGTTGGTTAGTTTTATGGGTGTGTGTGTGTGTGCTGTTAGTTTATGGGTGTGTGTGTGTGTGTGTTGGTTAGTTTATGGGTGTGTGTGTGTGTGTGTTGGTTATTTATGGCGTGTGTGTGTGCTGGTTAGTTTCATGGGTGTGTGTGTGTGTGTGTTGGTTAGTTTATGGTGTGTGTGTGTGAATGGGTGTGTGTGTGTGTGTGTTATTAGTTTATGGGTGTGTGTGTGTGTGTGTGTGTTATTAGTTTATGGGTGTGTGTGTGTGTGTGTGTGCTAGTTTATGGGTGTGTGTGTGTGTGTGTGTGTTGGTTAGTTTATGGGTGTGTGTGTGTGTGTGTGTGTTAGTTTATGGGTGTGTGTGTGTGTGTTGGTTAGTTTATGGTGTGTGTGTGTGTTGGTTAGTTTATGGGTGTGTGTGTGTGTGTGTGTTGGTTAGTTTATGGTGTGTGTGTGTGTTGGTTAGTTTATGGGTGTGTGTGTGTGTGTGTGTTGGTTAGTTTATGGGTGTGTGTGTGTGTGTGTGTGTTGGTTAGTTTATGGCGTGTGTGTGTGTGTTGGTTAGTTTATGGGTGTGTGTGTGTGTGTGTTGGTTAGTTTAGGTGTGTGTGTGTGTGTGTGTGTTAGGCTTTATGGGTGTGTGTGTGTGTGTGTGTTGGTTAGTTTATGGGTGTGTGTGTGTGTGTGTGTTGGTTAGTTTATGGGTGTGTGTGTGTGTGCTGGTTAGTTTATGGGTGTGTGTGTGTGTGTGTGTGTTGGTTAGTTTATGGTGTGTGTGTGTGTGTGTGCTAGTTGATGGGTGTGTGTGTGTGTGTGTTGGTTAGTTTATGGGTGTGTGTGTGTGTGTTAGTTTATGGGTGTGTGTGTGTGTGTGTGTTGTTAGTTTATGGGTGTGTGTGTGTGTGTGTGTTGGTTAGTTTATGGTGTGTGTGTTATTAGTTTATGGGTGTGTGTGTGTGTGTTGGTTAGTTTATGGTGTGTGTGTGTGTGTGTGTGTGTGTGTGTTAGTTTATGGTGTGTGTGTGTGTGTGTGTTGGGTTAGTTTATGGCAGTTGGTTAGTTTATGGGTGTGTGTGTGTGTGTGTGTTGGTTAGTTTAATGGTGTGTGTGTGTGTTAGTTTATGTGTGTGTGTGTGTTGGTTAGTTTATGGGTGTGTGTGTGTGTGTGTGTTGGTTGTTAGTTTATGGCGTGTGTGTGTGTGTTGGTTAGTTTATGGGTGTGTGTGTGTGTGTGTTAGTTTATGGGTGTGTGTGTGTGTGTGTGTTGGTTATTAGTTTATGGGTGTGTGTGTAAAAGGTTAGTTTATGGTGTGTGTGTGTTGGTTATTTATGGCGTGTGTGTGTGTGTGTGTTGGTTAGTTTAATAATAATAATAATAATAATAATTAACGGTTTATTGAAAAGTTCTTAGCCCGAAGGAAAAATATACATTGGGCATAAATGACTTATTACATACATTGGTGGTTTAATGAAAAAGCTTCATTAGAGGAAAGGTAAAGCGAACATGCGAAGTACAGATTGTAGGTGTTGAACAGCAAAACGTAGTGTAGTAACTCCTCCCAGGAGCGGTGTTAGAGGGACCACGTGGTGTAGTAGTCTCAATAGAGTGGTGTTATGAGGGCCTCACGTGGTGTAGTAATTCCCCACAGATGGTGTTATGAGGGGTCTCACGTGGTGTAGTGCACTTCACAGATGGTGTTATGAGGGGCCCCTGTCGTGGTGTAGTAATTCCCCAAGAGATGCAGCAGAGGCCCCTACGTGTAGTAATTCCCCACAGATGGTGTTATGAGGGCTCCACGTGGTGTAGTAATTCCCCTCACAGATGGTGTTATGAGGGGCCTAATGTGGTAGTAATTCCCCACAGATGGTGTTATGAGGGGCCCCACGGTAGTAATTCCCTCACAGATGGTGTTGTGAGGGGCCTCAATGTGGTGTAGTAACCTCACATATGGTAAGCTATGAGGCCCTAATGGTGTAGTGCAATTCCCTCCACAGATGGTGTTATATGAGTGAGGTGTGGTTCCAGGCCTCCTATCGACCTGATTAACACATCGCTGGTAGTTGGGTCTCACGCCGCTATCACTGGGGCAGTACCTTGGGACCTCACTGTGAAAGGTCAACTTGGGTACCACTGTTACTGAGTTGTTCTCACTGACTTGCTA